GTGAGGGAGGGAGAAGGGGATTGAGGGGTATTATGTTTAGTACACATGGTGTGGGGGATCACGGGGAAAACAGTGTAGCACAGAGAAGGCAAATAGTGAACCTGTGGCATCTTACTACACTGATGGACAGTGACTGCATTGGGGTATGGGTGGGGACTTAATATGGGTGAACGTAGTAACCACATTGTTTTTTCATGTGAAACCTTCGTAAGAGTGTATATCAATAACAACATTAAACAATTTAAATAAAAAGGAAAAAGGCATATTGTATTAATTCAATTTTTTTAAAACTCCAGAAAGTACAAACTAATCTATACTGACAAAAGGCAGATCAGTGTTTGCCTGGGGGTGGGGGTAGGCTGGGCTGAGGGATTACAAACAGAAGGAAATTTTTGGAATGATGCTACATTCATCTTGATTTCATGGGCAAATACATATGTAAAAAATTATAGTATACATTCTAAATATAGTCAATTTAATGTCTCAGTATAGCTGAAAAAATAAATAAAAGAATAAAAATAATTCGAACTCCTTTTAGAGAAAGCCCCCATTTTTTCCTCCAATTACTCTGTGGGACACCACCTCAGCCAGCCACCAGCATGACCTCATGCTACTTTAGTCAAAACTGTAAGATTCAGCTCAGATGGTTCCAGTGACCCACTGGTCAGAGAAGACACAGTGGTCTTTCCCTGGGTCCTATCTGCTCCCTTCCTCCCTGAAAGCCACCAATAAAACTCAAGCTGTAGCCATAGTCACTTCCCACACAATGTATGTTTCTAGGTTTTCCCTAACTGGCAGCACCTGCATAGTACGGATGTATCTCAGTCACTTTTGCATTGCCAATTAAGCCTGAAAAGATTTTTTTTCCCCTGAAGTGTTCTTTTCATGTAAGTAGACAGCAGCTCAGAGACAACTCCTTAGGGGCATCATTTATGCAGCTAACAATTACAAAGGAGCTATTGCATGCTGGCAGTGAGATAGGCTCCCCCAGAGCAAGAGTCAAGTTAACCCAAGCAGTTCCAACTGCTAAAGCTGAGATGCAACAGCGCACTAACAGGATGAACTAACCTGAGTTTGAAGTATGGGAGGGTTCTGTCAGGAAAGGCTTCTTAGAGGCGATACTTAATCTGAATAGTGATGAATGAAAGCTCTGAAAGGGTGAGGGTGGGAGTGTTTACCAATAGATGGAATGCTGCATGCAAAAAAGCCTGAAGCTGAGAAAGACCGAGAGCTAGTTTATCTGGATTCTGGAATTTGGAGCCCTTTGGTAGGCATATGCAAAGTCATGATGGACCTGTTGGGCCATGCAAGGAGCCTGACATTTGTCTAGATTCTAGACGACTCTAGAAGACAACACGGAGCTTTTTTAGGATTTTAAGCTGGCAACACCTTGTTTACAGTTGTGTTCCAGAGAAAAAAACCTTGGCTGGGTGATAGCGACCTAGAGCAGGGAAAAGCTAGAGGGCAGGGAACCCTCTTAGGGATTACAGTGGTTTCTGGGGAAGTTCATGGCAGCCTGAGGCAAGGTGGAGGAGGGAGGGTTGAGGCAGGAGGATCTGTTTCACTTCTCCTCAGCCTAGTTCTCTGCTTGCCAGTAGACTGCCAGCTTCCTCCCATTGCATCCAAAGACCAAGTCCTTTTCCTGAAAGCCTAACCAAAATAGGCCATCTCTCACTGTGGCCACTGATCCCTTCTCTGAAAGCCAGGAGTGCTTTACACTCATTGGAAACAGGCAGACTTTGACCCAGGACAGGTAGTGATTAGACCAGCATCTCCCTCATTTGTGGACTTTGAAACAATTGTCCTAAGTAGTGCTCTCAGCCAAGTCTCATTTCTCCAAGGTCTAAGGACTGATACATCCATTTTCAGGGGTCTGTGCAAGTGGCAGGAACCCATGAACCCTCACTGCTCTGGAGCTACCAGTGGCTGCATTCCCCAACCTTGGAGAAGTTTGGGCACAAGGGGGCTTCCCTTTTAGTTCTCCCATAGCAGGCCTGGCTTCTGGAAACAAGGATTAGGTCTGGGGAATTTCTAGCCATGACGGGCCAGTACTGCCCTGCAGGAGGCCCACTGTAAGGAATGTTCTTGTGGGCCCTCCTGTCTTCAGAGCTGGAGGATCTGTCCTCAAAAACATCTTTGTCTCCCAGCCTCTAACATAGGCATATAGCAGCTGCTTCTTAAGGGTCTGTTTACTAGAATCAGACTTAAAGCTGCTATTGGCACTGTCTGCAGGGGGACGGTTATTTTTCAGGGAAAAGGGATGTGCCCACATTAGGAAGTTTGTTTAAATGTTATCTTCATCAGCCGTCAGCTTCCAAAATTCTTTAAAAATCCTTTGGAGCCTCATTTGGGTGTAGTAGGGGTGGTGAGGATTACCTGGTGCGCAGATGTGAGATGTGACAGGCTTGAAAACTAGCCCTGAAAAATGGGCCAGAACTTCCCCAAAGCTTTTGCCTAGTGACTGACAGGCCCATGCAGGTACCCAGTTCAGTCTCTCCCTGCCCCTGTAACCCAGCCACTCTAGATAACCTCAGGCACTTTAAATAGCAAATATTCACCTTCCTTAGCTCTACCCAACAAACCCTTTGACATTAGTTTCATAATCTGACACCATCTGACATTTTTATTTTCCAATCAAACCTCTTCAAGATGCCCTGCCTGGTCTCACCCCTTCCCTGCTCCACAAACCCCTCTGGGTCACTTCATTCTTCCTCCTCGCCCTTAGAATTCCGGATATAACCATTTACCACTTACATGGTATTTAGCATTATGGACTTTTAATGTACAGCTTTGGTTTTGTTTTTCCTAACTAGATTGGGATCCTTGAAGACAAGAAATTTCAAGTCTTTCCCAGAGCACTTTTTGTCAGCACTGATCCCTGAGTAAGCTAAATTAATTATTGATTGGCAGGGGCCATTAATCTATCAAAGTGGTGGCAGGGGACTGGCAGGCAGGAAGAGCCACCTCCATCTGCATATTTTTATGCACAGGCTCTGACTTTACCTTGTAGATTCGTTAGGTTTTCCCAGAGTTCACGGGTGATCTTGAATACATCTTGGAACTAATTTAAGTCATGAGGGAAAGGGTTGGCAAAGAGCCCCAGCTAAAAAAAAAAATGGGGGCCAGAAAATCACCAAGGCTATAGAGGACACCCATCTGCTCACGTGCTGGCCTTGGTGGGAAACAGAAAGGCCGGGAGCTACTAACATTTCACAGTGGAATCCAGGTTAAACAATCACAAGGCGTGTGAACACAGGCAAACCACTTGACATCACTCGAGCCAGCAGAAAAATTGGATAAAAAGCAATCTTTGGCAAGGCAGCCAAGGCCACACTCAAACAGCTTACCCAAACACTACCTTTCTGCCAAAGCAAGCTTCTACTTATTGGTGGTTCAGAATACAAAGCTTGCCTCCCAGGACTAAGTTTACTTATTTGTTGTTGGAGTCGGCTGCCACCTTGTGGTCTAAATTACAACTGCCTATCAAGACTGAAATGGGTGACTACCAGCCCAAAACCACCTGTGTGATTTCCAGTTACCAACCCACTTGGCTAATTATTGTCCACCGCCATACAATGCTTGGCCCATAGTACCCCACAAATGACCCCAACACCCATATCCCATAAGATCCACTTCTGCTACCAGTTTTACTAGCTGGAATACCTTACCTTGGTGGGCCTTCCATGAGTTCTGGTTGGCTCATCACTGTTGCCTCAAAAGCTTTGACTCCTGCTTCAAAGTCTGTATTTACTACAACAAACCATCAGAATTTGATCTGCAAGCCCAAACTGGTCTCACCCAGCAAACCCATCTGCAGGCTTGTGCCTGAGCTCTCACTAGGCTCCACCTTCAAGGCCCCTTTTTGGCACTGCGCCATGCATATGGTGTTTGCGGTGCAAGACTAGAAAGGGTCCCATCAAGCCCGTCTGGAAGATTGCACTCAGCCCCATCAAAGCAAAACTGAACACACTGCTCTCATTCATTTAGTCATCTTATGCTGAGTCACCACTTCTAAAGGCTATGGGAAAGCTCGACAATGCCCTCTGGGGTGGTTCCAATTGTCTAGTATTTATTATGATTATGGAAAAACAAAATTTCAGGGGTCTTCAGATGGCTGGGTGTCAAAACATGTTTTTATGCATTGTTTTCTCCTTATTCTTACAAACCCTGAGCCTTAAAGGTTGAGATAACTCCAAGACCAAGAAAATGGCAACTTTCCTTCCATGCAGAGTTGAGCCAGCAGTGGTCTGGTAAAGATGCCGTTTTCAAACCACCACCCAGAAAGGTAACCACACTGGACATGACTCTACAAGGAAGTGCCTGCTGGAGCAAAAAGGGTCCACATCAAAGCGAAGTACTGCAGCTCTAACAGTAACAAGGGCTATCATCCTAGGTAAGGACAACTCCCAGAACCAATCCAGTCTTGCTTGTTACATTCTGATCCTTAAATCATTCCTGTTCAGCCTACATAATGCAAACAAAACAGGATATATAAGATTAATTTTTTTTCTGGCTGTGGGTTTATTCAACACAAAACAATCTCCAACTTTACTGAGGTGGCTGACCACGTCCGCGACCAAATCCGCCTCTCTGCAAAAGAAAGCATGACATCAGTATTAGCAGTATGCGAGGCAGCAGATGCCTTTATCCCTGGAAAGGCCCCCAAACATAAAGGGCTAGGAAGTACAGGCCATAAACCCCAGTCCTGCCACTTAATGGTTATAGGATTACATTCAACCTGTTGGCCCGTTTCCTCATTTGTAAAATAGGAATATAGATACCTGGTTCCTCATTTATAGAACAGGGATATGGATACACACTTAGAAGTGTGTTCTTACATACACACACGCATGCATGATCCACCTATCACAGGACATGATCTTGTGTCTGCCATACATACTTCCTTTTCACCAATAAGACCTCAGAGATTGTGTCCTGTGAAGACCTGCCACAGGAGAGGTTGCCCCAAATTGGTTAAATCTACCCCTGGCACTTTCCTGGATTAACTGTTACTACTAACCTGAGAGAGCTATAATCATCACCTTTATTTTACAGTCGATGAAAGTGATACACAGAGTACCTGCCCAAGATGACACCATCTGAAGGAGATGGAGGATTTGATTTCACACACTAGTCCTAAATGCCACCCAACCTCCAATGCTCTAATGCTCAGTTGTCAACTTCATTTTGGCCCATGAAACTAATTCAGGGTTTACTGTGATGATTACTGAGATAGAAAATGCCATTATGCCACAAGTCATTGTGAGACTCATTTGGTAATTTACATACTAAAGTTTGTGTACTGTGTCTTAGTGGAAAACTTACTTGGAATTTGTTTTGGGGGAGTTTGAGAGGGTTGGGATCCACACTGTACTGCATCCCTAGAACTTGCAGACCCACGGGTCTGAGGCCAGAACAGTGACTGCTAATGAAGAGCAAATGGAGATACTCACAAACTGGAATTCGGTTGCTGACCCAGCCCCGGCCTCGGCTTTCTTGTCGGCACCAGCTGGAATGAGAAACATCAATTCAGATTCATCATATGACTTGATCTATCTACTACAGAACAAGGGAAGACAAGTCACACAACCCAATCTTACAGGAAAATCCACATCAGTAAATGAACCCCATGAAGTACAAGTAGATCACACCCAGGCATGGGCAGCACCTTCTGAGATACTTTTGCCCCCTTCCACTGCCCCCATTCTGGACGGCTGTTAAGTCATCATTCAGAACTCAGCCCAAACTATTGTCTCCTCTAGGAAGGATGCTCTGCCTACAAAGTCTGGATTACATGCCCTTCCTTTACAGTCCCAGAAAACCCTCACCTCTCACCACTGAGTTACATGCTTCTGATCAGAACCTAGCTTACAGAAAGAACTCAATAAAGAAGAACTGAAAGTAAAGGAAACAAGGGCCCAGATACAAAAAACATGACGATGGGAAAGAAGCAAACATGAAAGACTCAGTGCTGCCCTGTCCTATATGGCAGCTACTAGTCCAAACTGAGATGCATGCAAAATCTCATTAATGTTCATGTGGATTACATGTTAACATTTTAAAAGATTGTGTTAAAAAATATTTGTACAAACTATTTCCGTTTGCTTTAAGTGTGGCTACTAGGAAATTTTATGATTCAACTTTGGGGGTGTGGGGCAGGAACCAACAGTGAGTATGGTTTCAGGAAATCTTGTTCAAATTAGGGTCTCCCTTTGGCCCATTCCAGACTACACACATCACAGGCCCTCCCTGTCTGCTCATCCCTCTGTCCTTCTGACCAGAAAGCCACGGTGTCTTCCCTATCTCCACACTTTTGTTCATGCTGATCTCTCACCTGAGATGCTCACTCCCCCCAACCTGGGGACCCCTGAAGCCCCGACCTAGCTTCACTTTCTTTGGACCATTCCCTGACTGATCCTCATGTGGCATGCGCTAAGAGCAACCAGCAATTTTTCCTGAACTGAGCCTGTTTGCTGGAGGAATCCATTCTTACTATCATTATATAAGACATTCAAGTCAAGTGCTCCCTTCTATTTTACATAGAAAGACTCAGAAACCATGGTAAGAGGAAGGCAAGAGTGGCAGAACTTACATTTCCTTTTATCTCACACCTAACTCCTTTTACAAGAAAGACAGAACGACTCTTGAAAAACAAGTTGAATCCTATCACTCTTCTGCAAAAACACTACCAATAGCTCCCCATCTTACTCATGAGTAAAATCCCAAGTCCTACCAAAGCCCAGAGCTGAGACCCTACATCTCCCTTTCTGACTCTCCTGCTGTCTTCTCTTCTTTAGACAAGCCAGGTTCCTTCCCCACAGGACCTTTGCCTGGAATGCTCTTCCCCCAGACAGTCATGGGCTGGCTCCCTGCACCTCCCTGAGGTGTGCACTTAAAATCTCACTTTTGTAAGACTTTCCCTGAAAACCCTGTTCAAAATTGCCAATACATATCCCCCTACTTTAATTTTTCTTGGTAAATTATTTTTGCTTAGCTATTTCCTACTACTAAAAGCAAGTTCACTGAGATGAGGCCTTTTTCGCCATGCACACAGCCACCACCGTGAGAGTCCTGCAGCAGTATCTGGCACACCACAGGCACTGAGTATCTAGTTGCTGAATGAATACCTATTGTTTCAAGCCAATGCCAACATCTATTATTCAAAAACAAGATTTTGCACTATTTTTGCAGTATGAATACAAGAAAGGTAATTTGAGTGGGCCCTACCCTCAAGGAGCTTACAACACAGAAACACAACCATGATACAAAAGCATGTTGCTTTCAAAGTGTTCAGTTTTGCTCTAGTTAAGGCCTTCAACTGAAGACTCCTGTGTCCCCCATTTACAGGACTTTCCTCCTTATCTTCACCATCAAATCCCTGCATAAGGCAAGAAGCACAAAACACTCCAGCTGGACATGATCTAGAGATTGAAACTAAGGACCTTTCCTGGCCACTTGGCATCTTCAAGGGCTGGGGACCAGCCAGGGCTGACTAAGAACCCAGAGGTTCTGCCCCAGCATGCAAGACAAATGGATACATTACTTACGGGGTACAGCGCTTCGTCTGTAGGTGTCTCTGTCAGCTTCTCCTCGTGTGAGTCTTGCAGGTCGCTCTCCCTCCAAACCTACACAAATTAAATAAACCACACTGTGAACATAGTACAATGTGAGAATTGTTTCCTTCAGGCCAAGCAAACTGCAACTGCTTTCCTAGTCTCACTGGGCAGTAACTTTTACAATGGGGTAATGGGGACAGGAACTCTTACACTCAGAACTGTCAGCTAGAAACTTGTCATTGTTGACATATTCATGCCTCAAAGGCCTATAAAAACTCACATTTTTATTAAAATTCCGTATGTCTCCAAAATAATTGCCTTCTACTGTACTTCTCAACACAAACGCACGTTTTCCAATTCCTTGGCAAATTAAGTAATCCAGTCATTTCTACAAACATCTGAATAGCCAAAAATTTGAGCCTGACCCATCTCTGAAGTGGAACACTTCCTGTGCAAATGGGAAAGGAGGCATCATAAGCAGAAAGTCCCACCTCCAATAGTAAGTATATAAATATAGAGGCCACCAAACCTCCCTTAGACCCTCCCCTCCACCCCTCCAGCCTTCTCCACATACCTTGCTGGGCTGTGGGACACATATTAAGGCACTGATTTAAAAAGCTACCTTAAAAACATTCTCATAAACACTGAAGTTTAATCTGGTATTCTTTCTATCCATTTACCCTGGATCTTACCTAGAGTCCACACGATTAGAACACAAATATTTTTTAAGCAGAAGAAATAAGGCTGAATCTGTAGGAGTGACTAAAAACAACTGCCAGGCCCCACCTAGCCAAACTAAATCAGAACCTGTGGGGGGCACAGATAGACAGTGTTATTCCCCCTCCAAAGGATTCCAAGATGTAATCCTACCTAACCACCAGAATCCCCTAGGGTGCTTTCATAGATTCCCGAGCTCCATAAAGCTTCTCTCCAGGGGAACATGAACACTCTGATGACCCAATGCTTTTAAGAGCCTCTGCATCTCATCACCCAAACTGACAAAACTGCTGCTCATATAAGATGCCCTTGGCAAGGTACTCCCCTCCCCCAAGAATCTAGGAAAGGAAACTACTTAACCTTGACAGAACACAACTGCAAGCCTGCAATGCCCTTGAGTCAGAAGACTATTCGCCCCCACACAGAAGCCTGTCCTTTCACACCATGATTACATACACATCTGTTCTCCCCTATTTGACCTTTGGTTATTTGTGCTCCCAAGAAACTCTATAAAACTCCATTTCTTTCACATGTGGTAAACAGCTTTGCTCTTGACTTCTTGGAGATAAGAACGTCTCTCTCCTGGAATTCACTCAATGCTACTACTGCCTTAGTCTGGCTGCAGACTAATAGTGTGTGTTTATCACCATCTCCCAGGAAGTCCTGAAAACCTGAATCCAGTTCCAAGTCCCATGCAGGGCACAAAGGTTCCAGGACTTCACCCAAGGTCCTGCATGTGAGTCCCTCAAAGCTGACACCAATGGGGTATTACAAATCATCTCTGTCCCCCACATAAACAAAACACCCCTACCACTTCATGTATACCCCTCCCCCAAGAAAGAGCAGCTTCAGAACAAGCCTTTGGAAGCATTTATTTAGGCACCATACCTTTGGGCCGTGGCCTGCCAGTCTCAGGACGGCTGCGGCGCAGGGTGGCGGGCACTATCTCAGGGGGCAGGTGGAGGTAATCACGGAGATACTGGATACCCTCATTGGTAAGGTACCAGTAGAAATGTCTCCAGGCAAACTGCTCTTTCACGTAGCCTCGTGATTTGAGAGACTGTAAGACAGAAAATTACTGTTAAAATACACCTAGAGGCTTCAATCGAGAAACGCAATACAAAGGGGAGCTAAACTATGTAGTAGGCAAGTTTCCAGTGTACAGTATCTCCCTCACAACCGTTCAAGGCAGCAATCAGCTCTGGCTGTCCTGACCTCTCCTTGTGCATTTAGTGGAAAATCTCTCCATCTGTATCCCAGTCCAGCAGCCCCCTGGCTACCTGCATGGCCTTCATGACGTGCAGATTGGGCACATTCTTGTCTGCCAGTTCAGGGTGCTTAGGCATGTGGACATCTTTCTTGGCCACCATCACTCCCTCCTTAAAAAGGAGTTCATAGATGGCAATCCGGTTCTTCTTGGGCATCAACATCTGTAAGGAGAAAGCAGTTCATCAAGAACATGTTTGAGCAATGTGGCCAGGGTCCACTAACCAAGTTCATGACCCCATGACAACCACATAAAAATCACTGTCCAATAGGTTGAAATCTCAAAAACGGAGGAGAAACCAGGCAGGAAGGAGGAATTCAGACTGCAAAAGTGAAACCCACCAGCTACCAGCCGCCCTCCTCCACCTCCCAAATAACCCTTCAGATAAGAACACAGTTGCCTGGGACCTTAAAACAAAACGGGAGTAGGGCTACACATTCGCTCCAGATTTTCACTCACAACCACAGAGGTACAAACGAGAGCAAACTCTATCCTGAGAGTATTTGAGTACCATTAGCAACAGTACCTAGTGTGGAGTGACGCTACTGTATTTTCAGGTATGCAAGGAGGGTCCCAAACAGGAAGGCCCTCGATTCATGACAGGTCGTGACCTCCTGCACACCCTCATCTTCTACCACTCTCCCCAGCAACCAGAGCTCCAGGCCTAGGTAAGCAGGCAGCCCGAGGCCGAGGCGAGCTCTGCCAACAGGGCGCAGTCTCCCCAGGCTCGCTGGGATAGTCTCCGTCATGCAAGGGCTTCATCCTCCTCTCCGCGGCTCTCGGCCATTGAAACGCCCATCTCCGCCTACCAGCGCCCCACTATTCCCCGAGGTGCGCCGACCCCTTTCACTACTCGGAAATGGGCTCTCAGGGAGAAGTAGAGCGCCCTCCACCCCGACTCCGGGGAAGAGCGACACCCACGGCCGTAGGAAATCCAGGATGCTGGCCGATGGAACCGGGACTCCAGTGAGACTTACTTCAGCAGCCGCTGCGTCCAGGACCGAGGCTGGAAAGGAAAGGGCATGCGCGGCGCTGAGTCTCTTCCGGGCTGGCATTCCCCGCCCCCACGCCAGGACCCGCGCGCTGCCTGGGGTGGCCTGGGTGGTGCCTGAGGGACTGGTGGTTCCAGCAGCCACGAATCCTGACGCTGTAAGCTTGCACGCTCGTAGAAACCGTAGCTGGGAGATTTTGAGCTGGGGGAATTTTGCCAGAAAATAGTCACTTTTATGCTTTTGCAGGCCCTTTAAAACACGCTGCTGCTCTATTTCCCACCGATTTTTAAGTTATTGTTATGCAAGTAATATATACTCTGAGTCGAGAGGGGGACGGAGGACGGAGACAACATACAAAATAGTAATAATCACAATAATGAAAGAATTAAAACAATTCAGTCAACCAAAGATAATCGCTGTTAACATTTCAGTATATATTTTTCCAAATTCATATGCACCAAGCATTTTTTTTTAAAACAAAAATAGGATGTTTTGTATATGTTACTTACGATGTTTGGTAACCGCTTTTTTCCCCTCTTACCAATACATCATGAATCTCTTTTCATGGTAAATAATACCTACAATTGTAATGACTACGTAGCAGTCCACTGATGGATAGTTTAATCAACACTCTGTGATTGTATTTGTATATATAAATATATATAATCCTTCGCTATTACAAGTAATAATGCCACACATATAAATGTACCTCTGCCCAATATGGATAAATTCCTGGAAATGTAGTTTTTATTTTTTTTATTTTCAAATTATTTGAAATGTTAGCATTGTTATTTATTTTTTATGTTTCATCATTGATTTTATGCCTATTCTGAAGACATAAAGCTCTAAATATATTACTATATTTAAATGACTGGTTTCTGTCTCCCATCGTCAATGAATATAATATATGGTCACTTTGAAATAGCATTGCATAGTCCTAGAGATGGAAATGTAATTGTTGAGTAACAAACAACACATTTTTAGGTTTTTGACTACCAAGAAGGTATAATCACTTTCATTTTAGTCAGCACTTATTAACAAGGTTCACTTCCCCATTAGCCCTGCTGAGATTGGATAGTATTATTCTTACTCATTTTTGATAGATAAGAAATATTAACCTCATTGTCCTGTTATAATTTGATTTACTTGATTACTTCTGTAAACTTTTTAAAAATCTTTCCTTTTTAGGTGTCTGTGTTCCTTCTATAAATTGTTCATTTTCATTGCCCGTTTCCCTATTGAGAGTTTTTTTCCACACTTTTTTGAAATCACTTTTTACAGATTAAAGCTACGGTCTGTTACATATTTTTCAAGAATTTTCATTTCTTGAAAATTTCAGCTTTTTATTTGTCTTGATTTTCATGGTATTTTGAAATAAGAGTTTCACATTTCCTTACATCCAAATCTTTATGGCTTCAGACTCAATGCAATGCTTAAAAAGTCACTCTACATCTCAAGATTATATAAAAATTCACCTATAGTTTCTTCAAGTATTTTTCATGGTTTCATTGCTTAAAAATAAGTATTTGTCAGCTTTGCAGGATGGAAAGAATTCTGGATATTGGTTACATGACAAAGTGAAATACTTAACACTACTGAACTGTACACTTAAAAATGGTGAAGATAGTAAATGTTACATTATGTATATTTTACCACAACTTAAAAAAAGTAAGCATTCATAACAAATTTTTAAAAAGACAGTTGAACATATGGGCAAGGAACAATATAATCTAAAGATTGGTCACACAGACTTAAAAAATACAATAAAACTTCTAGAAGTGAGAACTAAGATGACTGAAGTTTAAAACTTAATTTAAAGAGAAAAACAGTGAAATGCAAGATAGAAGTGAAAAAAAAAATCACAATGCAGTCCAGAGTAAGAGTTGGGATATTTGAAAGAAAGGATAAGAGGTATGAAGCACAGAGTGAGAAAGTCTAATATATGTCTAGGTGAAGTCTCATAAGAGAATAATAGAGAATGTAGGAAAGAGATACTATCAGAATATTTTCCAAAATTATTGGAAGACAACACACTTCAGATTTGTTGAGCTCATTAAATTCTAATTTGGGTAAATAAAAACAGATCCATGCCTAAACATGTCATAATGAAGTTGTAGCACATTAAAGACAGAGAGATCTTAAAAGCAGCCAGCAGAATAAAACAGGTGTGACTGATCACCTGCCTGCAGCAATGTTGGAACAGAGTCCACTGAAAGATAGTCTCCCAGGTCCCATCCCTTAGCTACAGAGATCCCTCTGCAATATCAGACCAAGTCATTCCCCTGCTTTAAATCCTCCAGTGCCTCCCCTTTAATAAAAACTTACAAAAATATTCAGTTTTTATGTGACTTAGTCTTTTATGTTTCAATATCTTATTCTCCTAGAATGTTTTCTGATGTAAAATTTTCCCCAGTGTTAGCTGGTATCTCAATACCATTTCCTCAATAAGCTATTCTTCTATTTATCTGAAATACCACTAAATTGTTTATGAGATATGAATTCGGTTTTAGATTTTGTTGCATTTGTGTTTATGAGACACACGAGTGAAAATTCCCAGTTAAGATTTTAGATAAAAAGCTCAGAATTAGTCCTGCGGGAAAGAGCTGGCTGGGTTCAATTAAGTAAGGGAATCATCAAAGATCTTGGGAGGATCTGAGATTACTTAGAGAGAGTGTGGAGTGGGAAGATGAGGGACCCACAGCAGTTCCCAGAGCACCCTTGGATGGTATTCCTGTCGGGGTCTCCCTCCCTTAATGGAACCCTCTGGTGGGTAGGGACCTTGCCTTTCTCCACTGTCGGCATCCTCTCCAGAGGTTAGCACCATGTCTCACACACATTAGGTATACCTGATACATGCCTCAGGAATAAACAGCAACCTCACAGAAAGCAGAGGAGATTCGAGGCTATTTAGTAAGGAAGAAGGAGGAATAACAATAGCCACTGACACTACAGAAGGCATCTCAGATGACATGCCTCCCTCAGTTCACTGAATCCCCTGCAGTAGGTAAGCACTGGGAACCTGGCAATGGGCCAGGTGGTAGGGCAAGTGTTGGGGCAGGAACACACATGGATCCCAAGCCAGGCAACAAATACCTCTATTATGTGCTGGGAGCTATGAAGAAAACAATCAGGGTGTGGTGACAGAGAGTAATGGGGAGTGAGGAGGTGACCTGTCAGCCAAAACCTTCAGAGGAATCAAGCTTGGATTGAGAACAGGCTGGGGGAACAATTCCATGAAAGGCCCTACTGCAGAAAAGCACTGGAATTGAAAGGCAGCCAGCGTGGCTAGGACACTGTGAACAAGTGAACCTGTATAGGACAGTGGCCTCGGGAAGGAGTTAGTATTGTATTCGAAGTGTGGTGAGAAGCCATGGAAAAATTTCAGGCAGTAGTGACAGGATCAGGTTTTGAAGGTATTGACTTTACAAAGACCACCCCCGCTTTTACCACTCCCACGCTATATTGTGCATGACGTATGTATCACCTGTCACATGTTAAAGACACAAACCCAAATCCCCCCAAAACAAAAACAGGCTTTGATGACTAGATGTTTCTTATCCAAGGTCACAAAGAAGTGATGGAACTGGATTCTTCAGAGTGTTCAGGCTTCCCCATTGCCTTAGAGTGCACCTCTGCAATGGGATCTTGCTGCTGGGGCCAAGGTCCTTATATGTATGTCTTCTGGTGGACATGATGTTGGGCAGCAGCAGTTTCTAAGGCAGCCAATGTTGAGAGTTACTGGCTTTGAGGAATCTATAAACTTCTAAGGGCTACTGCTAAAGACGGAAGTCACGGTCTAGGTCCCCAGGGACCAAGGGAGATTCTCCCCTCCCCTGTCACCCCCACACATCAGGTTGCAAATGAGTAAACTATGGTTTGTTAAGATTTTCTAGTTGCATTCCTTTCCTCTTGAGGTTCCAAAAACTTTAATAAAATCTCTGTGGAAACAGGAATGGAGGGAGCAGCCTCCCCTGTGGCCAGCTTGGTGGCTTCTATTTCTGAGGCTGGACAACAGGGTGAAGGGCACTTTTCTGATCCAGATATGGTGATGCACTGACTGTAACAACAGTAAATCAGACGCCCTAACAAACACCCCAGGACGCACCTCTTCCCGCAGCTCCCTTCACCGCATCTAGAATAGCTTCCTGGTCCTGTTACCTCCTCCCACTACTGAGAAACCTCCTCAAAAGAGCCATCTGTGCTGTGAATTTTCATTTATAGACCCCATGGCATATCTGAGTTTGTATATGTGGGTAGGTGGCTGCTGATACATTCCTGGACACACACACACACATGAGTCACCACAGCTGGTGCCGTGCAACTGAGGGTGTGATTTCTTCTCTAAATGGACAGTGACCCTCCCCTCCCTGTGGGCAAATCATACTGTGGACAACCTCTCCTTCAGTGATTGCCATCACTTCGCCTGTCATTGTTTGGGGCAGCTCCTCTGACCTCACCTGCTTGGAGCTGCCATGATTATTTTCTTGAATTATTTGGTAGTGACCCCTGTTGAGGCAAAAATAGCAGAGTTTAGGGAATGTCACATGTTTGCAGCCTGCTGGATCTGTTGTCCTGCAACCTCATCTTGCTGTGCTGCGGAGATGATCCATGTTGCTATTGAGGTCTGGCTCATCCATTGTCACTGTTAAGCCTCTCTCATATCTCGCACCCTCTCGTTTTCTGTTTAATTGCCTAACTATATCTTGGAGTGCCTTTTTTACAGCTGGAAAACTGAGGCTTGGAAAGTTTGGAATGTCAGCCCCATGAGGGCAGGGATTTCTGCCTATGGTGCCCCGGCAGCCTAGGACAGTGTCTGGCACACAGGAGGGGCTCAGTGAGGATTTCTTAAGGAAATGAGTGAAGCTTGTGGTGAGTTTTGGTTTGGAAACTCCTGCCTCAGTATCCTCTTCCTGATGAGCCTCCTTCAGCACAGGCCACCAGGACAAGCAAGGTAGCCAGCCTCCCCTTTCAAGTTTCCTCTCCCCTGCCCCATAGGGGCCTCTCCAATTCGCTGTTGAGAGGTGCTAGACTCAGGAGCCAGACAGCCGGCTGTAAACCTTGGCTCTGCTCCTCTGCAGCTATGGGGCCTTGGGCCAATCTCTTAGCCTC